CCTTATTTCAATCTAAACACCAACATGTCGGTCTTTTTTTAAGCATTAAGAAAAGTCAAGTCTTTCTTCTTTAAAACAAAACAGCATGTCAATTCATGTGATAGGACAAACGGACACTCATTGGCATATCTCCACAATATAACATTCATATTTTTAATCTTAAATATAATTTATAGGGTACAAGATGACAATTATCCTCATATTATTTTCTTTCCTTACTTGATGATTTTGTATGGATTTTTAATTCAACATTTCTATTCGTTGACTATGATTATCAGAAAAAGAAAAAAAAATCATCGGATCCATCATTTAAGCTCAAAATAAATTAAAAGTTACTCGTACTTATTTAGTGTAGACCTAATCCATTATCTTTTGGGTGGAATTGCCATAACATGGGCATACTTCTTAGCAAAAATTATTGTTGTAGGATGATGGGTTGAAGGATTTCAAAAACATTATGGCACTACTTGTTGTATTTGGTCTAATGCTGTACGTAGAAGTCACCCATGAATAGTATGATACCGAGTAGGGAGGAAGAAAAAGAGAGTCCATACAACAAAGAGTTAGATATAGAAGAAGGGACAATTCAAGCTTAGAAAATAGAATTAAATTAACCTCACAGATTAGGGAGGTTATATATATATATATATATATCCTTCACTGTGCATCCTTGTTGATGATTTTGATTTATAATGTCTAATTGATATTTTAAAAGGCTTCAGTACAACATTTCATGACATGGCTATGTTACTAAATTGGTAGGATTCGTTTTATTAAGGTGTTTTTTTTCTCAAAGAATATATCATCTTAGAGAAATTTGATAGAAAAAATATTTAAAAAGGAAGAGGAAGAACATAGAGAAGAAAAAAAAAAAAAAAAAGGAAGAAACAAGATGAGAAAGATAGAAAGCAATTTTTTTGAGTATTTTTTAAGAGATAGGTGTGATACCCGTCCACATGTCTCCATAAGATAACATTTATGTTTTCTTGAAATGCTAAAACGAGTAAATAGGGCACAGATAACATGTGATTTTATTGTTTAAAAAAATAGAATAGTAGCTTGGAAGATTTAGAATACATCGTGACATTATGGTCTCTAAAATTTAGCCTATGTTTAGCCTAAGATTCACTAATTGCCAAATTGGATGTTCCATTTGATTTGGTATTTACTAACACAAATAACTTTTAGTTACCTATGAATCCCATGGTTTTTTTTTTAATATAAAAAAATATCATGCCAATTAGTGTAACAATCTATAATTTCATAACAAGTTGGCCTGTATTTAAGAAAAACTCTAGGTCTTTCTTTATTTAATCCAAACCAAGACGTAAAACTAACATGATATGGACACATACCCATCCACATGTCTTGGTAAGATAATATTACATTGATGTGTTTCTAGAATGTTGAAAAAAGTTTATAATGCACAAGATGGCAGTTATCTGTACAAAAGACAATCTTTTTAGAAAAATAGAATAGTGGCTTAGAAATTTTAGAACATATTATGACATTATGATTTCTAAAGTTTAGCCAATGCTTAGCTTACGATCCACTCTATTCGGTGTATTCGATATCACATTTGGTTTGGCATTTTTTACGACAAATAACTTTTAGTTACTCATGAATCCCATGATATTTTTTTAATCTAAATAAATACCATGTCAATTAGTGTAATAATTTATATTTTCATAACTAGTTGGCCTTTTTTAAGAAATACTCAACTAAGACATCAATTAATGTGATATAGATGCATATCCGCCCATATGTCTCGAGAAGATAACCTTAATATTTTTCTTGAATGTTGAAAAGCATTTTTTCTTTTTCTAAAACAGTAGAATAGTGGCTTGGAAGATTTAGAAGGCATTATGACCTTAAGGTTTAGTCAATGCCAAGCCTAAGACCCACTATTCGATGTTGCATTTGGTATTAACTATGACATATAACTTTCAGTTACTCGTGAGTTCTACGATACAAAATCGGGGAGAAGATGAAAAATCGACAATGAATTCATACAAGAAAGGGATCAATATAGAAGAAGAGAAAATACACCCTACGAAAAGGAAAATAAATAAATAAATAAATAGATTAGGTAGATGATATATATCCTTTATTGTGGTTCGTCGATAAAGATTTCATGTATGTGATTTCTCTTCATCAAGAAGATCGTTTGTGCTTGAAGACTAAAATATAGTTTTGACGAGCATGTAAATCTTTGTTGTAATGCTAGTGCTTGTGTACTGAGATATAAATTAGGTGATTGATCACTAAAAATAAAATTTATGAACTCAATGACCATGGAGGATATATATGTATATTGATAATATCCATGTATGTGAAATAAAATAAATATGAATTTTTTATTGTTATAACTAAAGAATCTGATGGTAAATAATAGGGTGAGTTCTATTTGAAAGATAATTTTGAAATCAAAGGAAAATCTCAAAGATCAACAATCAAAATATGGGGTTGATCTTATTAAGGGAAGAGAAGACTTCAATACAAAAAGTCAAACAACATACCATAAAGTCGATGCAAGTTTAAAATAGTTTGATACTTCCTATCTATATACACCATCAAAATCAAATCTTTCACTATGTGAAATCAATTATAAATAACTTTAAATCAATCACAAATATCTTTATATATTCTCTCATATATATTTCGAAGAATTTCTTTTTATCATCATCTCGAGACCTTCTATTGAAAAATCCATACATCTAAAATAATTTTTTACATCTTGCTCTTTATCAAAATGGTACATGAGATATTTATAAAATAGTTAACCTTTAGTTTTTAATATTTTATTTTTTGAGAAAGTCCATGGATGCTAAGATTCATTGTTCCATGGCCATCGATTATAAAAAAATACAAAACTATTTACCAATCCTAACAAGCTCATGACTTAATCTCCTGTTTATATACATAAACTCTAATCCAGTTCTCCTTGAGTCATCAAACACTCTCAAATTTCTTACTAATTTGAAATTATTTTTTGGCCAATCTTTTCTTGTTACGATGTAGTTTGTACATCTTCATCGATCCTCGTCGTTCTATTAGGTGGCATGACTCATCTTCACTTAACCAAACCAAGGTTTGACCTCAACTATGTGACTCAATGTTTTATATCATCCTTTACCGACAAGCACTTGAAAGAGAGAGAGATCCTATTTCTGAACTAGGTAGCTACGGATAAGGCTATGTCGTTCTTTATTGATTCATGAAAAGAGTTGTGGTTAGTACTTCAATTTTGAAAAAACAGAAAAATCCAACAAGCATAGTAAGTACTTTTCTTTCCTTTTTTTTGTTGCATCAAGTACAATAATCAATTATTTATCATGGTCAATCCTCTGTCAACGATTTAGATAAAAAAAGTTAAAACTTTTTTTCAAGTGAATGTGCACCTTCTTTCTTTTTTGTAATGCTCTTTTTCCTTCTCTTCTCATTTGATGAATTGGATAAATAATACATTAGATGATTTTAGTCCAAACATACTATAATATTATAATAGATCTATAAGTAGTTTATAATTTATTTAAAAATATTAGAGGATAAGAACAATGATCATAATGATGATGATAATAATAAGGATGATAACAATAATATCAATAATAAGGGTTAGGATGACAACTTATGCTCCTTAATGTATAGCAGTGAATCTTTACGAACTAGTACATCGGTATTTAGAAATAAGAGTATACTATAATGGCTTCAACGATAACAATCAGATGGCCTATAAATCCACATAAAGTCATGGGTTAATTATAGATTATCTCTTATAATTAGTTATTTTAATATTTAGTTCCTACATTTTAAAAAATTATATTGGGATCAAGATTCCTATACGGGATTAAATTTTTTTTTTATAATATTAAAATTTTAAAAATAAAAAAATATTAAAATAATAATTAATATAATAATTAAGATATTAAAAATAATTAATTACAGAAAAATATATGTAATTAGCCATAAACCCACAATCTAACGTCCCTCTACAGCAAGGGAGAACCCCTCTCTCTTTGCCAGCACGTACACTTTGGTTCTTATCGGTCGGAAGAGTAACTTGTGTAATAATGAAACGTATCCCTCTCCTCTTTCTGGAGAGACGCTCTGCATCCCTCTCCCTCTGGCGAAGGGGGAAACCCTTCGTCTTCCTCCCCTAAATCCTCCTCCCTATAGTTCACGTGCCCCCTCCTGTCTTCCACGTCGTTTCCTTCGTCTTCGTCTTCAATGCTGCCGCCCTCTTCTTCGAGGCCTTCTCCTTCCACAAGACCAACTTTTCCCTTGAAACCCACTCCCAGTTTGAAACTGCCCTCTTCTGTGAACTAACTCTGCGTTGAAAGCCCCGCAAGCTCGGAATGCATCACTGGAGAAGGCCCCGGTTTCTGAGGCGAGAGCACCTCTTCGAAGCCTTCGGCTCCTCAGGTGGATGGTGCTGCCGCTTTGCCGAATGGTAACGAGGTAGGCGATCATGCGTGGTCGGTGGTTCCGGGTCCGTCGCCTCCAATGAAAGAGCATGATGGCTCTAAAGGAGGGCCTCAAGATTCCCGTGCCCCTTCTTCTGGCCCACGGATCATGTCTTGGGTGGATCTGTTTGCCGGCCGAGAAAGGGAAAAGTTTCCTTGTTCCTGTTTTATATCGGATTAAACAATCCTCTGATGTTGCTGCTGCTTTTGATTTAGAGAGTATTACTGAATGGCGTAAGCCATGGATTTATAGCCTAGTTGGTAAATTTCTTGCTCGATCGCCTCCTCTTCCGGTTTTGAAGGATTTTTTCGGAGATCGATCGTGGACTGTTTCTGCTCCTTCGTTGATCTTAGACATGCCTAATGATTTTTTTTTTTCCTATTTCGGTTTCATTCCGAGGTGGATGTTCCTAGGGTTGTTACCGCCGGACCTTGGTCCTTCCGGGGACAGTTTCTCCATGTTTTCCCTTGGCGTCCGGATTTCAATCCCATGACAGAAATGCCGAGATCTTCCCCAGTATGGATTCAACTTCGCGAATGTTTGTCCGGCAATACGAAGGCTTTGGGTCGCCCAATTAAAATCGATGATCGGTCTTTGAAATTGGAACGTGGTCACTCTGTTAGAATCTGTGTGGAGATCGATCTTTCTTCTCCCCTCCATCAGCGAGTGTGGATCGGTGCTGCCCAGACCTGGTATTTCTAGGTTGCTCGTATAATAACTTGCCTTTCTCTACTTTCGTTGTGGTTGTGTTGGCCACAAGCTGTCGGATTGCTCTACTAGGCTGGTTGAGAGGCAGAGTGCTGGTGTCCAGAGGTTGGATGCCCTTGGAAACGAGGGAACCCTTCTGGTGCCCACTTTGGCATCATCCACTAGTGGGAATGTTCGGCCGACGGTGGAGGGTGAAGTTTATGGACCTTGGATTAGGGTCCAGCGGCGTGGTTCCAGGAAGAGATTTGTGCCGGCGCTGGGAAGGGGATTGGCAGTGGCGGCGGAGGCTGTTCCTTCTTCCACACGTGAGGCGCACGTGGTGTAACGGTCTTCTGGGGAAGCTGGATGTTATTACCGTGCAGGGGGCTTGAGGACAAATGATGCTTTTTTTACTCAGGTGGAGCGATTGGGGGACCCCAAGGCAGATGGGGTTTCACCCGGATCCAGCTGGCTCGTTGGAACAGATGCCGAGTCAGATGGGGTTTCACCCGGATCCAGCTGGATCGTTGGAACAGATGCCGAGTCAGGCCCACCCCCGCGGGCCTGAGTTGGAGGCCACGAGGCTGTCAACTGGAGTCTGCTTCAGCTTACGTGCTCCTGTGGTACCCAAACCCGTGGAGATGCCGTTGCTGAGTCAAGCCCAGCCTGGTGCGAAGCGTCAGGTGCTGATGGGGAGCCCGAGGCGGGCTGTTGTGACCGCCTGTGTTGGCTCGTCTAGCATCGTGGTGCCTCGGCATCGTCATTGGATTTGATGATCTCACTCCTCCCCCGCCGACGGTTGAGGTGTAGGGGGTATATATCCCTTCTGCTCCTGTGCAGGGGAAGAGGGGGAGTAAGGAGGTGGCCAAGGCCAATGTCACCACAATGATCTCACTGCTAAAGCCCAAGAGAGGACCGGGTTGCGGCTCCAAGGCCTCTCATGGGGTGGGTTCTCATTAGTGTTTCTGCTCATTAGCGTTTCTTCTCTCCCTATTTCCGATACGAACATTATCAGCTGGAATTGTAGAGGAAATAAGAGAAAACTTGTGTTAGATTTTCTTCAATACTCCATTCGGGTTAATCGCGTTTGCATGGTGCTCTTGCAGGAAACCCATTCGGACGAGATAGTGATTAGGAGGGTTGCAAGGAGACTGGGTCGTTCTTGGTGCTTTACCGCGTTTCCGTCGGCGGGAGCCTCTGGTGGCATCGCGCTGCTATGGAACGCATCATTTGTCAAGACCCAGGTGCTTTCGATCCATTCTCATTACTTCAATGCTGCGGTCAGATTTATGAATTCGGATCCGTGGATTTTAACTGGTGGTTATGCTAGAGTTTCTATTACAAATCGAAACTTACTGTGGAATTCTCTTGGTGCAATTGATCTAAATCATTTTCCATGGATAATTTGTGGAGACTATAATTGTATTTCTTGTGCACAAGACATACTGGGGGTACCGCTTTTACGTTTTCTGCGTCGGTGAGGCTGTTTAACCAGTTTTTATTGTAAGCTGCATTATGTGATTTGGGTTTCATTGGTCCCAAATTCACACGGTGCAACGATCGTATAGGCAGTGCTGTGTTTTAGTCCATCTTGATCGTGCGTTTGCTAACCGTAAGTGGTCGAATCTATTTGGTAACTCAATTGCTTGCTACCTTCCCAGAGCTTGCTCTGACCATTGCTCGATTCTTGTGTGTCTATGCGACATAATTTTTCGTCGATGATGTTCAAACTCCACCATTTGTGGGCTGAGTGTGGAGAGATTAGGGATATCATCCAAAATGTTTGGATCCCCACCAAGACTTGCTCTAGATCCCCTATGATTGAGTGTTCCTCTAATTTCAGTAGACATAGAGGGCCTTTATCCTTCTGAAACAGGAATTGTCTTGCGTTGAGGATGCCCTTGTGCGTACCCAACAGGAGATTTCCATTCTAGAGAATAGGGAGGTTACCTGCAATTTGAGTGACCCTAATGGCATCCACTTGACCTGTCTTCCTTATAAACATGTTGCCCTCCTAAGATAGTTCAATTTGAAATGATGGTCTCAGGCTAAAACTAAATGTATAAACGAGGGTGATCCAAATACTAAGTATTATCACTCTGTTGTGTCCGTTAGAAGAAGAAATAACTTTATCCATCATATTCAGTATCCTTCCTCTATCATTACTTATCTGATGACCATTAGAAATAAATTTGTCACTTTATTCTAATCTTTGGAAGGCTAATGGGTGTATTGATTTCTCCCTGTTTATTAACTTGTTTACCTACAATTGGGGGTTATCTTCGATGCATGGTAATCACTTGGTGGGTCCTTCTAGCAGGAGTGAGATTTGGGATGGCCTTGTCTCTCTTGAGTTAAATAAGTGTTCGGGGCCTGATAACTTGATTGTTGAGTTATATCATTTTTACTAGTAGATTATTTCTACTTCTATAATTTAGGCCTTTTAGTATTTTCATGATTATACTTTTCTTCCCAAGTGATTTAAAAGCGTTAAGCATCAAAAGACGTCAAGGTCCCAAAATGCCCGAGGCACTAAGCGCTTGTTTGAGCGAAACGAGGTGTTTTAAAATATTAAAATATAAAAAATATATAATATAATTGATAAATATGATTATATAAATAAAAATATGATATTAACTTATCTATCTTTTAATAACAAAAATGTCAAAAGACTTAAAACAATAAAGTTTGCATCAAATTCAATCATCATCAAAATCAACATCGTCATTCTGAAACATATCATCATCTTTTTCTTCCTCTTGTCCATTTTCGTTAAAATATATTTCCTCTTATTTGACAATGGTAAAAGATGAGCTTGAGGCTTTTATACTCATTTTTTTTCTTCGTCATCTATCTTGTATATGTCTATAATTCTCTAACACCTGAGACTCTTAACATATCTCCCCATGTCTAGCTGTGATATTCAAATATAAGCTTGTCTTCGGTGTTATGCAAGTTCGCACCCATTTCATCATAAACCACTCATTTGAATCTTCAATGTCTTGTAATAAGATTGCATCAATGTTATTTCGCAAATCATGATGAGCTTTCAATTTTTTATTATACTTTATATTTAAAAGATCATATAATCGTTTATGCTCTAATTGATTTCTTCTCTTTGTAGGAATCTATCGTGTCATATAATTAAAAATTATATTAATACATCTATATAAAAAATATATTAATTGAAATAAAAATATTCTGTGATCCTTACATGCTCAAACACACTCTAGTTTCGTTTACAACCTGCAACACTATATGTTAAACTAAGAATTTTGATTATCAATTGCTATAAGTTTGAGGTGAAAATTTTCAAATAAACTTCACCATTCAGTTATAAAATTTATTTTATTATTAACAATAATATATTATATATAAAATTAATTATATAAATTTATTAATACCTAAGGATGTAGTTGTCCAAAATCGAATTGCCATTGGAATTCTAACAAGACTATCGATATTTTTGTATAAAGATAATTTATGTATGATCTTATCTTGCACCTCATGGAACCAATCTTGTAATGTACTGATATGACTTATTTACAACTTCTGTATTAAACTCAATTGAGGTGTTTTTGTAAAAGAATTTTAGATTTAAATAATATCCTACTGTATGTAGTGGATGATAAAGTTGATAATTTTATCTTTCATCAATAATTATCAATATTTTCTTGTACTTTTTTTCATTTTCATCATAAGACTTTTGAATTGTCTCATTTGCTCTATCTATAGCCTCATGAATATATCTCATTGAAAGTTTCTTTTCATTATCTGCCAACCGAAGGACTCGAACAAGAGTATTCATTACCTTTAATATATAAATTATAAGTTTCCAAAACGATGACATTAAGATGATATAACCGACCCTCTTGCTTTTCGTATCTTTTGCCCATTTGTTTTTTACTCATTTCTCCTAGGTAAACATGTTTCTCAGGTTATGTTTTTGACAATGCATGCTTTGTAATGTGAAGAAGGATATAGTAAATCGATTGACATCATATTTCACCAATTCCTTATTTCCTGTGAGTTCTCTCTCATCATATTCAAAGTACCAGAATGTTTTTAAAAAAATCTAACGACAAAGATTGTTTTTTCTAACGTCTTCTTGATTTTAGGAGTCTTTTTAAGATCTTCCAACATTAAATCAATGTAATATGTCACACATGAAGTCCAATATAAGTGTTGTATTTTTGTTTCAAATTATTTACCTACTGTTCGTTCCGTGAACCTCGAGTCGTGATCGCGTGGTTGACACAGCTTGGTTCGACTGGCGACGTCCAGGATCATCCTAAGGGCGAAGGTCCTAGTTAGTCGAGTCGAGGTTGAACTTGGTGAGGACGCGCCTCTTCCCGAACTCGTCCTCCTTTGCTGAACCTGGATTCCTACACATAGGCCTGGGTCGGGATAGGGAATGATCCCGACTTGGGCCTCTCCAAAGCTCGAGTTAGTGGTCTACTAATGTTCTTATACCCCCCGTTAGATGCTGGCAAGGGGTTTTTATCATAACTCCTAGGGGTGGGTCATACGACCAAACCCATGAGTGGTGAATGTACCTTTGGGTGTTCGTTATCCGGGATATGTGGGATGGCGCCATGCGGCACCGTCCCGGGGTTCCCAAAACAATCCTTGTTTCGGCGAGACTAGTTGGCGCGGTGCCAGATGGCACGGGGAGATGACCATTGTCGCTCGGATAACAAGCGATGCATCTACCGTGGCACTATCTCCCTCCCGAGGTCTTGCGCTCGAGCTGATGTTGTTAGGATCAAGAGTACTAAGAGGGGGGGGTGAATTAGTGCAGCGGAAAACTTTCGACGATTAAAAAAGTATTCGTACGATAAAAGCGATTTCGGTAGAAAAGCCGATTCGTAAATCTCTTTAACTTGTAATCAAGCGAGATGTAGTTAAAGGAAATCTATGAAGGCAGTTTGCAGTTATGATGAAAGTTAAAATGTAAGCGCAAACTGAAATATGATGTTCGTACGATAAAACTGATTTACGTCTAAACGTCGATTCGGAAAATACTGAACTTTGAAACACGATCGTAAATGTGCAGAAGGCAGTAAGCTATTGAGGAGGTTTGCAGTAAGGATAAGATGCTCAAAGTAAATGCAAACCGAGATTTAGAGTGGTTCGGTCAATCTTGACCTATATCCACTTTTGGCTTCCTCCACCGACGAGGTCACCGACGTCAACTAGAGGCCTTCCTTCAATAGGCGAAGGCCAACCACTCTTTTACAGTTTCACTCCTTTTGATGGGCTTAGGAGACAACCCTTACAGAATTTTCTCTCATCTTTTTAAAGATCAGAACTTAGAAGAAAAGAGGGAGAAGAACTTTTGGCCTTTGCAACAATTTTGAGCTCTAAAAATCACAGAATAAGATCAGGATTTCGGTGTGTTTTTGGTGCCCTTTCAGTGCTGAAAGGGTGGGGTATTTATAGGCCCCAACCCAGTTTGAATTTCGAGCTCAAAACTGTCAATTTCCGGAATTTCGGGATCTGGCGGTTGCACCTCTTGACTGAGGCAATGGCACCGCCTAGCAGAGCTCGAAGACTGAGCCTCTAGGCGGTGCCACCTCTTGTCAGGGGCGGTTGCACCTCCTGCCAGAGCTCGAAGATCGATCATCCGGCGAGCTTCCGGCGAACTTCCGTCGATCATCCGATGAACCCTCGGTGATGCTCCTGCGGACTTCCGGCAAACTCCTGGACTTGCGACGATCCACTTGGCGAGTTCCGACGAACTTCTTTGGCAAGCTCATGGACTTCTCAGATTTGTTCCCGCAGAACCTTCGACAACTGTCCGAACTTCCGTCGAACTCTCGAACTCCCAACGTGATCATTGTCTTGATTCCGGCGCAACTCCTGCTGCATATCTTACTTTCATCGTAGTTAATCCTGCACACTTATCTCAACATATAGATTAGATAACAAATGACAATTGACTTCATCATCAAAATCCGAGATGCAATAATCTCCCCCTTTTTTATGATGATAATCAATTGATAATAGAGTTAACCTTATCTCCCCCTGTCTATATGCCATACTTGAGATAAGTCATTCTTGAATTCAAAACCTTTGAATTCAAGAGACATATTGATAAGTTAAAATCATTTAAACTTATCAATACTCCCATAATGATTCCCATCATGATGTTTCTCTCTGAAGATGATGTCAAGGCTTGACATTCATTTTCAAATTTTACATTACAAGTTTGAATGATGGTAATAGTAGCAATTCATCATATTGTAAGATATCAACATGTAAAACTACAAAGTAAGATTTTGATATCATTACATGATGGACACATTTCAAATGTTTTAGCAATTATTGCATTTCATCACATGGTAAGATATCAATACGTAAAATTACGATGCAAGTGTTTTGTTTGATATCTTGACACGAGACAAACAAGGCATAATGTAAATTATAGCAATCATAGCATCTATTCATATATCTCTTGGTGAT